TTAGTAACTGATAGTTTAGTCTCTAACTTTGTTTTTTTTTTTTGCAAATTGACTCTCAACCTTTTAATATAGGTGTAATATGATCTTTTCTGTCAATATCCATCCAAAATCTAACGCCCAATACATGTGACCACTCACGTGACTCAGATTGTTGATGTATATGTGTAAAAACACTTGTAGCTCGAATTGGTATATCCTAAACTCTACAACAAGAAGTTCATTGGGGCGACAAGCTTCTCGAAGGAGAACCAAATGTCGAGCGGAGGAGGAAGCATTGGGAAACAACGAAAGGAGGTCGTTGCGCTGCGCGACTGCAATGGGCACGGGACCCACCCGGCCAATACCTCTGCAGGTTTTCACGTGACGAACGCGAGCCTCCTCAGAGACGCTAGCGGCACAGCCAATATGATGCCCACGTGCGCGCGCGTTGCGTTGTACAAGGTCTACTAGAACACTGGTTGCTTCATGTCAGACATTTTGGCGGGTATAGATCGGGCAATCTCCGTTGGCGTTGACATCCTCTCGATGTCTCTCGGCGGCAGCTCTGCACCGTATTATCATGACACCATCACCATCGGAGCTTTCTCAGCCGTGGTGAAGGAGATACTCGTCTCCTGCTCCGTCGGGAACAATGGGCCATGTAGGGCTTCACTGGCAAATGTGGCTCCGTGGATCATGACGGGATCGGGATGATTCTAGCAAACACCGCCATGAGCAGCGAGTAGTTAGTGGTCGATAGCCATCTGTTGCTGGTGAGATCTGTTCGAGAAGAGAGAGACGTGAGGGGAAGAGCGAAAGAGAGATTGGAAAGAGAGAGAGCAAGCAATGGCTGAAGCGGCTGTGACTGATCTGGTCAATCTACGGCGAATCTGGTCTGTATGCATCTTCAACGAGAAGGCTTATTTGCAGCAGTGACTGAGTCGATTCGTGATGGCAGCAACCAGAGAGTTGTAGGCTATGGCAACAAGGCGAGAGAACGATGTCTATAGTTGCGGTTATTCAAAAAAAAAAGACAAAAAATAAGAACAAAAGAAGAGTTCAAGCGGGCAATTTCATCTTTCCACTAATAATCTTGGTCACATGGGTAGTCACTAGTCACGGGTGTTAGCCGTTAATTTTTGGACGAATCTTGACAGAAAGGATTAGATGACACTTGTTTTAAAAGATTGAGGGTTAATTTCTCAAAAAAGAAAGAAAATTAAAGACTAAATTGTCACTTACAAAATAGGTTGAGGCCTATTTGTGCCAATAACCTTATTTATTTAAAAAAAAATTATTTTGCTGTATTAATGTTGTTTTTTTTTTTTTTTTTTTTTTTTTTTTTTTTTTTTTTTTTTTTTTTTTTTCTGATTATTAGTTTTAGTCTAGAGTTATTTGTTAGTTCACGATTCACTGCTTGGGCTTTTTGCAACTTTTTCTTAGGTTGCCGTTGTCAGCTTCTTGCTTGTTATTTTTATTTTGTTTGATTAAATAAGAATCGGCAACCTAATTTTTAACGATTATTTTTAACTATTGTCAAATTCTCAGTTAGTACAAGTGGGGAGAGATTGTTGAGAAATTCTGTTTATTTCTATATTATGTGGGTAATATATTTTATATAAAATTTAATTATTGGGTTATTTAATTTTAATGGGCTTATATTAAGTGATCTAATTATGTGAAATTTACAGATTTCTAATGGATATTAGTTTAATGAATGGATATCTAATATTGATTCAACTAAGTTTAATGAAACTGTAATAGAACATTAAAAGAAATTATGATCCCTAATACTTCAAATTATTTTATGATTTTCTTTTTTTACTCCATCTAGAGATTGAACCCAATTAAAGAACTACCTTCATTAAATTGAGGAAGATAATAATCTGTTCTTATTCCACCAAAATTTTGATTGCTGCTGCTATGGATACAGATTTTTGAGAATCTTTAATCTGGCATGATTTCGTTTTACATATATATAGAACTGCATTATAGCTAGATGGTATTAGTGTATAGAAATATGAGTCATTGTGGTATGGAAATGTATTATAACTGGGTGGCATTAGTGTATAGAAATGCGTGTTGTCCATTGTGGGAACCTTTCGGCAGTGTCATCACGTGGGTGTTGTCCATTTTCGTCCATCTACACCTAATAATATTTTTTCGTCAAGTGTCAGTTTTGTGTAAAAAAAAAATAAAGAAAGAAAGAAAAAAAGAAACTATTTTGTAGGATGTCTGATTGTAGTGCTCTTATTAATGCTTCCAACTAGTGGTGGAATTTCAACCGGCCGGCCTGTATGAAGCCCGAAAATTTTCGGGCTCGGTGTGTAGGGACCTTTCGTCGCCCGTCCACCTTAATATCTCGGGCTCGGGCTCCTAAGAAAAAAGCATTCCCCGTAGCCCACCGCCGGTGGTGAGCCGTGATCGCCGGCCGCCATTTTTTTTAACAAATTTTCCACCGTAACCCGAAGCCCGAATTTTACCCGAAAACCCCAAAAAATGGCTAGTGTTTTGAATTTTTGCCCAACCCGAACCTATATTTTTGACCGTTAGCCCAAATTTTTTTTGAATTTTTGAATGCAACGGCTATATTTGTCTGATCCGACCCGCCGCCCGCCCGACCGACTCAAATGGCTTTATTTGTTACCGTTGCCCGATGTCACGCCCCGGAGCGGGGATCGGTGACGTGGAGCTCGATTAGGGGTTGAACGCAAGAAAATAAAAGAAATTCCCAACTAGCCCCACACACTGAATTAAAATGAATTACAGGATCTCTCCACATGATCTCGTTACCATAGATACATGACATGTAAATAAATCATTACAGTTATAGACATCATCCACAGTCTAGAAATCTAAGTACATGAGTTCACAGAATTTACAAATTCTTACATTTATACTCACAGGAGGATGAATACAATCCTCTCTCAACCGGATGGTAGCAACTCAGCTACTCCGCACTGCTCCTAGAGTTTCCTGGGAGGGGTCAACATTTTAAAAATAATAAAACATGCACGAAAGACCAAGCAGGATATATTTGAAATAAACTTTATAAATAAATAAGAAAGCGGTAAATAAATAAATGAGTAAGTAAATAAATGAGACATTCAGTTCCAACACAACAGCTGGAACCTCACATCCTTTTTCTCAAAGGAAATATAACTGAAAATTACCGTATTACAGGCATCAGCAAGTAATTTATATAAATTACTTACACAACCAAGTGCACAAGCCTTCCCGGGCCGGGTTTCGGGTTCTGCCCCCGAGGATGCACTCTCCACATCCTATCTAGGCCCTCAGCTAGCTTACCGGTTCGCAAGATCTCTTTCCTTAAGAAATCATTCATTAAACTTTATGAGATCGTTATTATAATCCCACGAACTACAACAAGCCGTGGGTCCCATGAACTACAACAAGCCATGGGTTCCGTGAACTACAACAAGCCACGATTTTCAAAGATTTTTGTTTTGCAATCAAGACGTTTCTTTAAAACATTTACAAGGCCAAAACTCTTTTTGAAAATCAGGCTCACAAGGAAAAGGGGTTAGAAATCCTACCTCGTAATTATCAAACATGTGGCTAGCGGCGCACTATTCTAGCTTCCGCTTCCTTAATCCACTCAATCCGAGTCCTCAGCTAGCACTGTTACAAGACAATACTTTAGGATTCCAATCTCATCTCTAAAGTAATTTAGTCTCAATTATATCCTTTGATCTCCTATTAGTGTGCCATAATCAATTTCATGTTTCAAATCATCATTGCAAGGGTTTTAATTCCAAAACATGGATTAAAGATGTAATCCATTGACTCTAGGTTCCCAAATGAAGCTAATTTGGGTTCTCTTTAAAAATCAGGGTCAAACAAGGTCTTTAGGCAAAACAGGGTCAAACCCAGTGTACACCGGTCGACCGGTGGCAGAGCAGTGCAACACCACCGGTCGACCGGTGGTGTGCAATTCAGTCGACCAGTAGCCTAATGCATTCCGGTCAACCGGTCTAGTCGACCGCACTGGTCGACCTGTGAAGAACAATAGGCGAAGAAAACCCGTGAAATCAACCCAAAAACCTACAATTTCAGTTCCAAATTGAAATATTTCAAAGGAATACCACGAGATCTGGGTTCTAGGTCCTAAAACAAGTCCAAAGAACCCTAGATCTCTAATTTCTACCATGGTTTTACTCAAAAAGCATCAAAAATCTATCTCGAACCAAAAATAAGTTTTAAATCTGAAAACTTAGGATTTCAAGAGAGGTTCTTCAGAAATCTTACCTTGAATCCTTCTCTTGACGTTGAAACTTCTTGAAACTTTCCTTTGGTTCGAAATCCGGTTGATTTGAGATAAAAACGGGAGGGAGACAACTGAGAGAGAGTGAGAGAACGAAGAGAGAGAGAGAACAGAGAGAGAGAGAGAGAGCACAGGAGGAAAGAAAGAAAGGAAAGAAAAGAAAAAAAAAAGGAAAAGAAAAAGAAAAGAAAATAGATAGGTATCAACATTTTAAAAGAACATTCCAGAAATGTGCCCATACACACTTCTAGGTTAAAATAAAATTACTAAGAATATTTAAATACCTTGGAATTATTTAAATTACACGTCAAAAACATTTATTAATCAAAAACTAATTAATTAAATCAGATAAGCACACTAATAAATCTTAATTATCTCATTTAATCCCATTTAATTCTTCGGGGTGTTACAACTCTACCCCCCTTAAGGAATTTCGTCCTCGAAATTAGAACTCACCTCACAATGGCAACAGATGCGGGTATCATTCCTGCATCGTTGTTTCAAGCTCCCATGTTGCTTTCTCAGCCCCATGGTACTGCCACAATACTTTCACTAACAGAATCTCACGATGACGCAGACTCTTCATCTTCCGGTCAAGAATCTGAACTGGTGCCTCCTCGTATGTCGTGTCATACTGTATCGGAATGTCATACCATTGCACTACAGCTTCCGGATCAGGTTGACATTTCTGAAGCATGGAGACATGGAACATGCCATGCATGTGAGATAACTCAGGCTACAGGGCAAGACAATACGCCACAATACCGACTCGTTGCACGATCAGGAACGGTCCAATGTACCTTGGCGCGAGCTTCTTTTTCACACCAAATCGAACAACTCCCTTGCGTGGGAAAACCTTCAGCAAAATGATGTCACCTTCCTGGAATTCCAAAGGCCTACGCCTTCTGTCAGCATAGCTCTTTTGACGACTTTGAGCTGTTAGCAATTGTTCCTGAATCACAACTATCTTCTCATTGTTCTCTTGGACAACCTCTGGTCCAGTAGTGAGTCGATCCTCAGGTTCCAACCAACAGACAGGTGATCTATACGGACGACCATACAATGGCTTGATAGTTGTTGTTGCAGGCAAACTCAGCAAGGTGCAGGTATTTCTTCCAGTTCTCGCAAAAATCCAGAATACAAACACGAAGCATATTCTCAAGAATCTGAATAACTCTGTCATATTGTCCACCAGTCTGAGGATGAAATGTTGTGCTAAAGTTCAATTCTATTCCCATGGCTTCCTAGAAACTCTTTCAATACCTTGCATTAAAACGCGTGTCACAATTGGACGTGATCGACAACGGCACTCCGTGAAGTCTAACAACATGCTCTGGGTACAATTTAGCTAGAATGTTTTGAGAATACGTTGCATGGAACGGTATGAAATGCGCAGATTTCATCAACCTGTCCACCACCACCCAGATGGCATTGTGTCTATGCTCAATTCTCAGTAGTCCCATCAGAAAATCTATCGTGATGTGCTCCTATTTCCATCCCGGAACAGGTAGAGACTGCAACTCTCCAGCTAGCTTCTGATGTTCAGCTTTAATCCGGAGGCAAGTTACACATTCTGAGATGTACTCACGAACGTCTTTCTTCATGCCTCTCCACTAGTATTGCCTCTTCAGGTCCTGGTGCATCTTGGTACTTCCTGAATGAATAGCGTACCTCGATTTATGAGCCTCATGCAGAATTGCCTTCTTAATCTCATCCACTTTAGGAACAGCTAGGCGGTCGTGAAAGTACAGCGTCCCATCCTCTCGGATTCTCCAATCCTCAAGCTGCTCTCCATTTTGGATTCAAACCCAGATTCCTTGGAGATGAGGATCTTGCCACTGATTCTACTTGACTTGTTGCACAAGGGCCGGTGCGGAGATCAGATTATACACCATAGCCTGGTGATAATCCTCGTGATACTGGAGGTCATAATCGCTCACAACCTCAGTCCTCTTCCAGTCTTCCAGAGCTAATGACGCTTAAGTCCCCGAGGTCTTCCTGCTAAGGGCATCAGCTACCACATTAGCTTTTCCCGGATGATACTGTAGCATGAAGTCGTAATCTTCCATGTACTCCACCCACCTCCTCTATCTGAGGTTCAAATCTTTCTGAGTAAACAAGTACTTTAGACTCTTATGATCAGAAAAGACCTGAAACCTTGCTCCATAGAGATAACATCTCCATATCTTCAGAGCAAATATCATTGCTGCTAATTCTAAGTCATGCGTGTGGTAGTTCCGTTCATGTGGTCTCAGTTGGCGGGATGTGTAAACTACAACGCGTCCACCTTGCATCAAAACACAACCAAGTCTAACCCCCGAGGCGTCAGAGTACACCTCATATGGCTCCTCGGTATTAGGAATAGTCAGGACTGGTGCACTTGTCAGCCTTGCCTTCCATTCCTGAAAGGCATGTTCACTCGAATCTGACTTCTTTCTTGGTCATCCGAGTCATCGGTGCAACAATGCTCAAGAAGTCCTTTACAAAATGCCGATAGTACCCTGCGAGTCTGAGAAAGCTTCGGATCTCCACCACATTCTTCGGCATCTCCCACTGTAGCACAGTTTCAATCTTGGAAGGGTCCACAAAAATTCCTTGTCCTGATATCACATGACTAAGGAACTTTACTTCCGTCAATCAGAAGTCACACTTGTCCTTCTTTGCATACAATTCGTGTTCACGAAGAGTCTGAAGAACAATCCTCAAATGTTGTTCATGTTCTTCCCAAGTCTTCGAATACACCAAGATGTCATCAATGAAGACGATCACGAACCAATCCAAGTACGGCTGGAAAACATGGTTCATTAAATCCATGAATGCAGCCGGGGCATTCGTCAACCCAAATGGCATCACCAAAAAATCAAAATGTCCATACCGAGTCTGAAAAGCAGTCTTCGGGATGTCCTCCTCCCTGATTTTCAATTGATGATACCCAGATCTCAAGTCAGTCTTAGAGTAATACTGTGACCCACCCAACTGATCGAATAGCTCATCGATCCTCAGTAGTGGGTATTTGTTCTTCACAGTTACTCTATTCAATTGATGATAGTCAATGCACAACCGGAGGGATCCGTCATGCTTCTTCACAAATAAAACCGGTGCACCCCAAGGATAAGTACTATTCCTAAAGTACCCCTTTCCCGCTAGCTCTTCAAGCTGCTTTCTTAATTCTCTCATTTCAGCAGGTGCCATTCAGTATGGAGGAATAGAAATGGGTGCCGTTCCCGAAACCAAATTGATGCAGAATTTAATTTCTCAGTCCGGCGGTAAACCAGGTAGCTCTTCAGGGAATACATCTACAAACTCATCCACTACAGGTATTCCCGCACTGTCTTCAATCACCTCAGTTTCACCTTCTAGAGCAAGAAGGAAAGAAAAGCAGGTTAGGTTCCTCCGTCCTCCGACGCTGTATTTCAACAGTCGTTCTTCTAGGACTGGATTCATGTCCGCTTGATAAGCGATCATCACTCAGGAATCAGTCATCAAAGTCACTCTCCTATAGCAACAATCGACAATCACACCGTATCTCGCTAACCAATCCATTTCGAATACCACGTTAAACAGACTCATCGGAAGGATTACCAGGTCAGCTCTCAATCGCTCACCTCCAATCGTGATTTCACACGATCTGCACATACTAGCTACCTCCACACATCCCAGTGGGGAGTTCAACATCATTGGGGTTTCCAAACACTCTGCTTTCAATTTCAAAGTTTGGACAAATGAACTTGAAATGAAACAATGAGTAGCACCAGTATCAAACAGTACATGTGCTAGAGAATGAGATATTAGAATCATACCCTTAACCATCATAATACTGGCATGGCCTCCAGAACTACCTCCTGTCAGGGTATAAGCTTGTCCTTGCACTTTCCCCTTCCCTTTATCACTAATATTAGGCCTTTGGGTCGGTGGCCTATACTGTTGTGGTGGAGGTATCTGTACTAGTCCCGACACCTGAGGCTGAAACTGTGGGTACTGAGGTGGTCGGTAGGCTGGCACAGGAGGGTAGAACGTTGGCATTTACAGCTGCGACTGGTAACGTGGCATAAACTGCAATGGCCTCTCGTGACCATAAAAAGTATCACTCTGGGGCTTTTGAGTCTGCGGTTGATTTCGATTAGGACAGTTCCTCCTAATATGACCAATATGCCCACAGTGATGGCACTTTGGTCGGTAAGGATAATTTTTGTCACTCCCAGATGAACTACTACCACCACTGATCACGTCTCCACTGACCTGCCCATAATTACGGTCTCTTCTACCGCTCCGTTGTGGCCCACCCGAAGCAAAGGGTCCACCTGAAGTAGAAACTCGGCCAGCTGCTTCCTTGTTTTGCTGATAGGCCAAGTTATCTTATTTCACGCTTGTAGCAGCATCCACCAGGCCTTGAAAATTTCAGATCCTTAGAGGCACGAAGGGTCTCCTTACATTATTTTTCAGACGTTTCTCAAACTTCAGGCATTTCAAATGCTCAGATTCCACCAGAGATGGCGCAAAGTGGGACAAGTCATTAAACTTAGCCTTATATTCCCTTATCGTCATATCACCCTATTGGGAGGTCATAAACTCCAAGGCCTTTTGATCCCTATAGCTCTGAAGGAAGTATTGTTCATTGAAGAGAGTCTCAAACTGGTCCCAAGTCATTTCCGCAACATTAAGCCTTCCTTCTTCTTACTTGCTTCCACCAGTTGCTTGCTTGGCCTTCCATCTTATATACCGTGAATTTTATCCGATATTCCTCCGGCACTCCCATACTATCTAAGTGCTTAACTATGGAGTCTAACCAGAACACCGCTTCTTGAGGTCCTCCCTCACTATTGAATGTAGGGATAGGTGCACGCCTGAATTCCTAGAAGTAACTCTGCTTCCTGTCCTTGGCCGGTCGCTCATTCTGAGCTCGAGTGGCCATGCCTTGAAAAATGGCATACATGGTATCCAGGAACTCTTGGTTCTGTGGTGCCGGGTTGTTAACTGACCTACGACGCGACGGCATCTCCTTTATCTGAAAAGAAACTAGACTGTTCAGCGGATTCTGAATGTCACACATGTATGTACAATCCTGTGAATTCTTAACCTAGGGCTCTAATACCACTCTATCACACCCCGGAGCGGGGGTTGGTGATGTCGAGCTTGAATAGGGGTTGAACGCAAGAAAATAAAGGAAATTCCCGACGAGCCCCACACACTGAATTAAAATGAATTACAGGATCTTTTCATAGGATCTCGTTACCATACATACATGACATGTAAATAAATCATTACAGTTACAGACATCATCCACAGTCTAGAAATCCAAGTACAGGAGTTCGCAGAATTTAAAAATTCTTACATTTATACTCACAGGAGGATGAATACAATCCTCTCTCAACCAGGTGGTAGTAACTCAGCTACTCTGCACTGCTCCTAAAGTCTCCTAGGAGTGGTTAACATTTTTAAAACAGCAAAACATGAGCGAAAGGCCTAGTAGGATATATTTGAAATAAACTTTATAAATAAATAAGAAAGTGGTAAATGAGTAAGTAAATAAATGAGACATTCAGTTCCAACACAACAGCCGAAACCTCACATCATTTTTCTCAAAGGAAATATAATTGAAAATTATCGTATTATAGGCATCAGCAAGTAATTTATAGAAATTACTTACACAACCAAGTGTACAAGCCTTCCCGGGCCGGGTTTCGGGTTCTGCCCCTGAGGATGTACTCTCCACATCCTATCTAGGCCATCAGCGGGCTTACCGGTTCGTAAGATCTATTTCCTTAAGAAATTATTTATTAAACTTTATGAGATCGTTATTATAATCCCACGAACTACAACATGCCATGGGTCCCATGAACTACAACAAGACATGGGTTCCGTGAACTACAACAAGCCCTGACTTTCAAAGATTTTTGTTTTGCAATCGAGCCCCTTTCTTTAAAATATTTGCAAGGCCAAAACTCTTTTTGAAAATTATGCTCACAAGGAAAAGGGGTTAGAAATCCTACCTTGTAATTATCAAACCTGTGGCTAGCGGCGCACTATTCCAGCTTCTACTTCCTTAAGCCACTCAATCCGAGTCCTCAGCTAGCACTGTTACAAGATAATACTTTAGGATTCCAATCTCATCCCTAAAACAATTAAGTCTCAGTTATACCCTTTGATCTCCTATTAGTGTGTCATAATCAATTTCATGTTTCAAATCATCATTCCAAGGGTTTTAATTCCAAAACATGGATTAAAGATGCTAAGCCATTGACTTTAGGTTCCCAAATGAAGCTAATTTGGGTTTTCCTTAAAAATCAGGGTCAAACAGGGTTTTTTAGGCAAAACAGGTTCAAACCCAGTGTACACCGATCGATCGGTGACAGAGCAGTGCAACACCACCGGTCGACCGTGTTGGTAACCGAATCGAATTTGGATGCGGAAGCGTGGCGGGGAGGCATATCGTGTATAACAAAAATTTTCATAAAACTTTTGAGATACTCTATAGATTATATTAATTTATGCATGAATAAATTAATCTCATTAATTCATTTATTAAGAACTCAATCAGGAAAAATACTTGGAAGCCGACTCGAATGATAACTTGAATTCTTTGACCACGAACAGTCCTTGCTCCAATCTGTGTTTAGAAAACCAAAGTCTTCCACGTCAATTCCTTGAATTCATGAAGACGTGTGTGTGGGCACACATGAGACAAAACGGGTTACAATAAACACTCAAATTTCCACAAACACCAACGCATGCACGATGTGGAATTTTTTGGAGGAAAAATTTTTCCTTCTCTCTATAAGGGAATTTCGGCCAGCCCCCTTCAAGTTAGGTTAAAAATTATCTCACGCAATTTTTCATCGTATCTTATTTATAGAGTAGAAGTCAAACTTCTAGAAGGAATCAAATCTCTATCTTCTATTTGAATTTCGAACAAAAAATTCTCCTCTCTCTTATCTCCTTATGGCCAGGCAACCCTAGGGTTTCCTATCCCTGTGTGTGGCGCCAATTGCAGATAGGGAATGAAGAGAAAATCATCCTTTATCTTGTAGTCCAATTTTGATTCAAATTTAAATTCGAATTTAAGTCAAACTTAAATTAATTTGAATTCTAAATTGAACAACTTATCAAATAAGTTTAAAAGGATAAATTTAAATTATGTTCATGATTCAAATTTAAATTTAAATAATCACATTATTTAAATAATAATTAATTCTCAATTAATTATTTTTTGAGTATTTAATTTTAGAATTTCGTAATTCTAAAATTTCCATTTTGTCCTTTGTGTCTGGTAGAATTACTAGGACGACGCGGGGACTAATGAACCTATAATCCTGAGCTCCAATAAAAAAAACATGTTTAGTAAAAGGGTGATTCCTTATCCTGAATAGTTGATTCAGGAATAACTAATCATGTTTATTTTCTTTATTAAGTTTTAGCCCTTAAATGGAAATTGTTTCCACTTAAACAAAGAAAAAGAAGCAAAGTAAATAAGATTTATTAATTCTAGAAACATCTTTAGTAGAGGGTCATTTCTCGTCCTGGATAGTTGATTCGGCAGCAACTAATCATGTTTTGATTTTCTTTGTAAAATATTAGTTCTTACAAAGAACTTGCCATTAGGGACTACACGATGAAAGTGGGAATACCACGAGGATATCGGCAAAAGCAGTGGGAGAAGTTAGACTTCAATTTGAAAATACCTTGTTGAGAACAATGCTTATTTCCCTCCAAGCATAAAGAGAAATTTGATTTCTAATTCCAAATTATTTGAACAATTGCCTTTAATAATAATCTAGTCCACATCTTTCAGAATTGTTCCGATATATGTTCTGGATATTTGGAAAATGGTTTATACTGTTTAAACTGATGCCCGGCTCACTGTGAAATGTTGAATTGTTCAAAAGTTGCCGAACCTAAGAATAAGAAGCAACGGATCTCTCACGATAAATAACACATATATGTGGCATCTTAGACTTGGTCATATTAGCCTAAACAAGATTTAAAGACTGGTAAAGGATGGTCCTTTACGCGAACTAAAAGTTAGTAAGCTTCCAGCCTATTAATCTTGTCTAGGAGGCAAAATGACCACGGGGCCTTCCATGTCGAAAGGAGAAAGAGCCACAGAATCTCTTCAGCTAATATATTCGGATGTATATGGACCGTTAAACGTCCAAGATAAAGGAGGTTACGAATATTTCATCACTTTTATTGATGATTATTCGAGATATGGTTATGTTTCCCTAATGCAAAAGAAATCTGAAACTGTTAGAAAGTTAAGAGAATTCTGAGCATAAGTTGAAAAACAATTAGGTAAACTAATCAAGACACTTCGATTAGATCGAGGGGGTGAACACCTGGACCAAGAGTTTCAGGATTTCTTGATTGAAGAAGGTGTGGTATCCCAATTGACTACACCCAATACACCACAACAAAATAGTGTAGCCGAAAAGAGAAATCAGACTTTGCTCGACATTATAAGATTAATGTTGAGTTATTCTTAACTTCCTACTTCGTTATGGATTTATACCCTAAGAACCACCGTGTATATTCTGAATCTAGTACCATCTAAGTCTGTACCAAAGACACCCCTAGAGTTGTGGAATGGTCGAAAGTTAGTTTTGAAGTATATTCGCATATGGGGGTGTCCGGCTCATGTGATGAAACAATAGACTGGGAAGTTGAAACCAAGATCAGAATTATGCGTATTTGTGGGATATGCAGTAGGGACAAGAGGGATTATTTTATATATAGTCACAAGAATGAAAGGGTATTTGTATCGACAAATGCCACGTTTCTGGAGCATGACTATATGATATTTTTCAAGCCCAGAAGCAAAGTAGTTCTGAAAAAGTTACTTTCCAATAAGATTGGACCACAACCGACAAGAGTTGTTGGAATGCTAAGAATGACCACAATTCCTAATCAAACTCATGTGGCACCTCGTCGTAGTGGGAGGGTAAGCAAGTTACCTGACCGCTATACTGAGGAAGCAAATATCGTCACTGCTGATGACGGTAAGGAGGATCCGTTGACCGATAAGGCTA